TGCTGTCCTTGAGATGAAGCGGTAATATCTATGCTGGGACAGGATATGTCACAAAAAATGAATATAGAGCAGGAGGGCCATAAAAGAATCGAAATACTATCCATTATACAAAGAAGTAAGCGTTCCAGTCTCAGGGAATTTGGTAAAAGTAGCAAGCTGTATTTGGAGGAAGGAGCAACCAGCAATGGCATTTTCAGCATATAGGATAGTTTCCCGAGAAGATCGGTAATGTAGGTCGACTTGTAAAATATCATCTGACCTCAATGGCGTCTTCGATAACTCAAGCATCATGGGCATCAATCTGTCACTCCAGGTGCTCTTCTCGGAAATGCCGCTAGTCCTCCTATCTCATCTCCCCCATTCACGTCACTTGATTCGATCCTCACCACCATACCTTAAATCTCCCCCCACCCAAACAACAGCCATTCCATCCTATGCTTACATCTCGTGCTTTCAGCCGATCCTCATCTTCAGTCGTCTCAATGGCTCCCTCACTTGAGAACTATGTCCTCCGACAACGACGCTTCGCTCCCCTCAATCCAGCCCTCGCGCAATCATCTGATGCGCCTCGGCTGAAAGGAATTGTGTTCGATGTTGACGGCACACTATGGTGAGACTTCTACTACTAAGAGAAACTAGCTGGAATATTCTTCTTTATTGTGATCCAAGAGATACACTTCACTGGCATCTGTGTTCCAATAGAATACTCGTAGTCTTAACTAACTGTAACAGCCTACCACAGAATTACATGTTTACCGAGATGCGGTAAGCACTCATCAAACAATACCCTATTAAAAGATATGACTCCCTAACAGCTCCTAGTAAAGCTCTGGGAATTGACAAGAAAGTCGACATTCTGCACCATATCCGGGATCTTCCCACCGCTGCCGAGCGCACCGCGGCAGCCGAAAGAATCAAAGCCATCGAGCGAGAAGCGATGAGCCATCAGCAGCCTCAGCCAGGTCTGGTGGACCTGATGGACTACCTCCAGTCTCGGGGATTGCATAGGGCCCTCTGTACACGCAACTTCGAGTGCGTCGAAGCCTTTGCCAATGCTTTCCTAATCACTCAGGGAGAGGGAGTCGCTAACTCCGCTATGTACGACAGGGCGCCGGTGATGCATCTCTTGCAGAATCACCTTCCTACTCACGTCTTTCTACCCATTATTACGCGCGAAACGCCCGGTCTGCTTCCCAAGCCTGATCCAGCAGGGATTATACATATTGCCCGCGAATGGGGGCTTGACAATCGCGCTGAGAATTTGATCATGGTAAGTCAGCATATCCTTAATTCACTTGTATCCAGGACCTAATTACGTCTTCCTTGGTAACGCCACAGGTCGGCGATAGCATTGATGACATGACTGCCGGCCATACGGCAGGCGCAGCGACCGTGCTGCTTGTCAACGAGCACAATTCTCATCTCAAAGACCATGTTCATACGGATCTTTGTGTAGACCGTTTAGACGAGCTGATTGACATTCTAGAAAACGGTTTCGTTGGTCACCAGGGCGGAGATAAGCCACTCACAAGTGACAGGGAAGGATAGAGGATAGAAAATTACCTTCAATCGTCACATGGTCTGGTTTTGTATAAAGCGTAATCTGGTGTACGGTATATACGCAGGGAAGTATATACAGTCCGGGAATTGGACGCAAATGCGTATTCTCAATGCCCTTACGCGTAAGATTTCAAGAGAACATGGTGATGGTCATGGTGTCCGAATCAGGACATGATGGAAGATAATGCTATCTAAACAAAGCCCCCAAGTCAAGACTCGAATAAAGTTGGTGAACCCATCAACGCCATTACCCTTAATACACCAACAATAGCCGCATGCAATATACAAGGTCATCTGGCAAGGTCAAGTCACTCACAGACTTTGGCAAGGTAACCAGGCCCCTGCAGTTTCATGGGTATCATTACACTGTCCATTTCATTATAGTCGGTACCTGTCCCAATTCTTTTTGGCGGCACTAGGCATCGGACGATAGCCATCGTTAGAACCTCCGCTGGCACCGCCTCGTTTGTTCCCACCTCCTCCTCCACGCCCGCCGCGACCGCCGCGACCCCCGCCGTTTCCTCCACCTCTTGTCTGACGCGACGGCTCCGGTCGATTCCGAGGAGGCGAGCGAGGCGGTGGCTGCCGCCGATAATCGCTTCTACCTCGGCTCGAGCGTGCGTTAGGAGACAGGGAGCGCTGGCGTGAATTGGGGCCCCCATAGTCCTGACGGTCTCGGTACGTCTGACGGGTATCCCGGTCCGAGGCGCGAGGGCCAGCGGGCGCAAGATTCTTGCCGCGTCCTATCCCGCTGCCGATTCGAATGCTGGGCCGGTTTGCGTTCGCGTTCGCGTTCCGACCGATGGGTTGGCGGCGGTCTCCCCTGGGCATCATGTCCTCGCTGTCCGAGGATGCCGAGGGCCGATCCGCGCGGCCCCGGATTTGCATGCCGCTCTGGCCTCTTCTGGGGACTGGTCCGCCTTGCCTGCCGCTGGTTACTGAGTTGATGTTGGTCACCATGTGCGGGTCGATGCCTCGGAGGGTGAATGATGAGGAGACCATCGATCCTGAGAGGGACGGGCAGTCGCCTACAAGGTGGCGGTTGCTGGTGCAGTGGGAGCATGAGATTGAGACTAGCACGGGCCCTGAGGGCAGTTCCTGCCGCGGAATCTTCCACATCATATCGCATTGGAGTTCTAGGTGGTTGGATGACCCACAGAGATCGCAAGGTATCTCGGATGCGGAGCCTTTGAGGAGCGAGGAACATTGTTCTTCATCGTGACCGCGTTCTCGACATCGTTGACATCTCCGCCAGGATGGGCAGAATATGCTTTGGTGCTGATTCCAGGCACCACAGTGTACGCACTATAGGTAGTCAGTAATCGCATTTGATAGACTGCAATAGACCTTGAGTGTCATGGGAGGGCATATGTCTGACACTCGGTCGAATTCGAGAACGTACCTCCTTAGAAGGACACACTGCTGAAAGATGTCCCTCGTTTAAGCATTCGGTGCACGATATCGGTAATTGAAGGTTGATGTCGTTGATTTCGCGGTCATAGAACAAGCACCTAGCCTGTACCTCCATATCATCGCGATCGAGATCCGCCAGTATTGTCGGTGCGACCGAGTACTTTTGGGAAAAGAGACGATGTGATTCTTCCTTTGATATTGTCGATCGGTCGCCTGAAGCTATTCTCTCTGCGGCGGTACCATTCACAGAAACAAGGTTTGCTTCAGCGGACAAGCCATCGGTTTGATCATTCTGATCGCCAATATTCAGCAATATGGAGTCATCAGCCTCGGAATCCAGAGATACTGAGTCATCCGAATCTCCAGATTGATCCATGTCACTTGACTCTGCGGATGTCTCCTCGTCAAGCTCCCCTTCCTCCATGTCACTCTCATTTTCAACCAGCGTAACATCCTGGTCGCCACCTTCACTAGACACGGAAGCACTGCCACTGCGCCAGAATTTGTCGTTAACGGCCTTGAACTGAGAAGAAGCCTGTTTGTTCTCGCCCGTCCTGTCCACTCGCCTGGATAGCGACGTTCTGATGCCACTCTTGCTCGCCTTGTTCCAGTTAATGGCAGGTGCCTGAGGATTCGTCCGTGCGATGTTCTGTTTCTCTGCATCGGACATAGTGGATTCGCCGTCGCTATCGCCGTCGGACGAGTCAGAACCAGAGCTGGACGTGCTGTCCGGATCTACCTCCAGCGATGCTGCGGTGAAAGCAGCGCCTTGAGGAACAAAGTCTCGCACGTCCGGTACCGCAGATTCGCCATTTCTCCGTTGCCTTTTTCGAGGATTTGGATTTGGATCCGATGAGTTGGCGCTCATAGAGTCGGTCGAGTCGTTCAAGCGGCTGCGCTGGACACCAACAGAGGCGGTTCGCGAGTCATTTTCATTATCGGAAGATCCCGTCATGATGCCTCATCGGGGTTTTGGACACCTGCGAGGATTCAGGAAGTCGCCCTGTTGATAAAGGTAATTAGGAAACGGGTTAACATTGTGCATTCTGGGGTTGTTTCCGCTCCAGAAATTTTACGGTAGCCGATAGTGACCAGGAACGTCATTTGTCGCCTCTAGAACATGGTCTACGGTGAGAGAGAGGATGACCATAAAGTACTGGAATCTATGCTGGGAGCCATTGTCGGCCTGCTGTCGATGTTATCCACTATGCATTATTTGAGTATCGATATGGAGCTGCGATTGAGTGTAGCCCACCGGTTTGGGAGCTAACAACTCCGGACGGCGTACGGAGTACTAGTAGATAGTGTGGCCTCAATTGCCATGTGTATAGCCAGGGGGTGATAAAAATAACAATCCAAATTGATGAAATCTTATTTTGTAGTTTCTACGAAGTAGTCTAGAACATATCCAATATAGAAGCGATCTTAAGGTCTTTAGGTCTGGCCTCTTCACTAGTCAATTGACCTTGGTCTATCTCTTCTTCACCATCTTCTACTTCTCCTTGTGAATCTCCAAGCTTTCTTCCTTCCGCCGACCTTCGCTTCTTTTTGCCCCTCGACTACCAGCTACGCATCGACCCTCTCCTCAGGTTTTCTTGTCACTCACTGCTCGAAATTCCTTTTACTTCTTTGGTTTATCATAGTATCGCCATTCACTGTATCCTTTTTCTTCGCTTTTGACCGGACTTCAAGTCTTGTATTTGCCAACAGTGCGGTTGTTGTCCGCTGACTCCTGTGACCCATCATACTGCCGGTCCTCTTAAGATCTCGCGGTCGGAAGTTCTGCGAGAGCATTCTCATTGGAAAAGAGTGAGATTCTTCAGGGAGCAAAAAGAAGGCCTGCGTTCATTGGTGGTTCGTGGTCTTGCTTTTTCTGCGCCTCCCAGCTTATCTTTGGCAACCTCTTCGACCTCGCCCGTACATCCTGACGAAACACCGCCAAAGTGTCTTCCCTACTCGTTCCCCGTGCCATCTCCTTCCCTCCGGAAGTCGGCACTGGTTCGCGCCGGTTGTCACCGGACTCCAACATGTCTCAATCCAAGGCTGGACGGAGGAGGAGATCGAGCAGTATCATCTACCAGGAGCCGCCGGAATCCATCGAGCATACCAGTGATCAGGCTGCCCTACCGAACCTCAATGCTAACTGGGTCAATGCCAAGGGTACGTGAGCTACATATTGTGATACAAGCGAGTCCTTGTTATTTGGAGGGACGCAGCTTGGTATGGGCAAACAGCTGACTCGAGCTCGTCAAATTGCAGGTGCCTGGACAATCCATTTCGTTCTCATCATTGCCTTGAAGATCTTCTACGACATCATTCCTGGCGTCTCGCAGGAGACATCATGGACCCTCACGAATATCAGCTATATGTTCGGCTCCTTCCTCATGTTTCACTGGGTGCGGGGTATTCCATTCGAGTTCAACGCTGGAGCATACGACAACCTCAATATGTGGGAGCAAATTGACAACGGCGACCAATACACGCCCACAAAGAAGTTTCTCCTTTGTGTCCCTATTTGTCTCTTCCTACTCAGCACACATTACACACACTACGACTTGACCTACTTCACTATCAATTTCCTGGCCACTCTGGGTGTTGTCATTCCAAAATTACCATTTGTATGTCCTCTCCTACTTGGTCGCGTGGTCGTTTGGCTAATCTAGATCATAGTCACACCGTCTGCGGATAGGTCTCTTTTCTGACTTACCGGATGAGTCGACATAGTATCTCCTTTCACACTACCACTTGGCGTCTCAGTGTTTCCTTTCCTTGTCTTTTACGAGCACCCCATTGCTTGCTATATTAGTCTATTGGACAGCACCGTCTACGGGATCGCCTTCTCTCTCCAGGTTTACAACTACGCTTACAACAATCTCCTTATCTACTGCATGTTCGTGGTGTGTCTGGGGAGGTAGGGTTAATTCAATAAAGAATACTCGATATATGGATTGGCGTTAGTCGAGTTAGAGTGCGGCAAGGAGCAGTTGTTCCTTGTACTACAATAAAGCCGTGTTTTAAATACCTACGAGTCCATCATTAGCCTGCCTTCTTCTCATGCTTTGCATGGGCTTGTAGCCAATTGTTAGCCAACACATTGACCAGTGAACCACCATTTGCTGAGCTGGACCAGTCCAGGCCTTCTCTCGCAACACTGCTTCTACATCCAGGTGTCTCCGAGTCTATGCCATACTACACCTTCTATATGGCTGCGCGTATTTCTGCAACTGTTGGGCTACGCCGTATAGCCTGGTGCTAATTCCTAGACATGGAAGAAGGGAAATCAGCCTAGCCTCGATCAGCTCAATGTTGGTATGGTGATCCGATCCCGGAGATGGTGCGTCCGAGGCAGCTATTTAGCTGCCTAAAATGCCAGCGATGTATGGTATCTCTATATGTAGCCCATGGTGATAAGATGCTCTACCATATTGGTATTTTAGATATTATATTTGTGCTATTCGGCATGTATCGCGTTGATCGAACGGGACACCATTTCCGACAGTCTTTCTAGTCAGATAAATATATATTCTGCTGTGCAGACGAAAGTCCGCGGTCAACAGGCGCGGTCAACATATGAAGTAGTAAGGCATACTATAGACATGTATCACTCTAGAATGCGTTATAGGAAAGAGGGTGAAAAAAAAATAGAACGAGCAAGAAATGAGGAGGGTGATAAAAAAACATGGCAAAAAAAGAACAAATCAAGTTCCAGACGCCATATGGCGCTGCTGGGAATCGAACCCAGGTCGAGACGGAGCTGTGGGGAGCCACAACGTCGCATGATAACCACTACACTACAGCACCTTGATTTGATTGGGAGGCCCGAGGACTCTCTGCTCGATATAGTAATACGAAGTCGCTGTACAGAAATTCATGACCCGCATTCTCCTGCTCCGTTATTAACATCAGTAAATGACGGAGGAGTCGGTCGCTGTGACTACTACGATGTTGACGTACTCAAAACATAGAAATCGGCCAGCTGCGATAAGCGTCGCGACTTCGCGTTGACGCGCCTAATCGATAACAAAATTATGCGCCCACTGTCACCCCACCTAGAAACTCACCACATCAGCAACGATCAATGCTGATGACGATAGCTATGGCCACAGAAGAAGGGGCGTCTCTGCCCCTATATCGCCCGACCAAGGCGATCCCTTACGAACTCGTACAACATTGTGGCATATTCCTCGAAGAAAAGCTATGTTGGTTTGCCCGCTCACCATATCACGGATGCCACACACTGACATAGAGCCGTACCAGACACACAAGCACTCAATCTTCTACTGAACTTACTGTCACCGGGTGCCATTGCCTCAGGACCCGTCTATGTCCCCTCCCCGCAGCACCTTGCAGTCGCAGCCACGTTTCTCGTCCACCCATCCACCACCAACCGAGCCAAGACAGTAGAGGAGGAAGAGGCACCGAACACAGCGCTGCGGCTGCTCCGACTCACCAACACGCTTGTCGGACCAATCTCTGCCAGATTCACAGCGGCGTTTGCATTCAATCACTTCGAGTCCTCTCGGCAGGGAAGGCGGCGGCGCGTAGAAGACGACGAGAACGCAATTGGCGATATCTCGAACGACGACACGAGGACACTAAACATTGAGCTCTGCCAATCGGCATCTCTCTGGTCTCGCGCAGAAGACTTCTGGCATGCCGTCGGGTGGGCGTTCAACTGCTCTGTCCTACATCCGGAACGGTGGGCAAGATGGCAGATATGGCTGCAGTTCATGTGTGAGGTTCTCGAGGACGACTGGAACGAGCGCAAGAGGCAGAGCACGGGTGCCGTGGATGACGAAGCCCGCCGGAGAATACTTGAGAAAAGCTTGATTTTCCGGTACATCGCCGGCGGGAGCACTCCGTATGGGCGCAATCGAAGAATCCTGCGGGCCATCTTCGCAGATGGCAGCTCGGCCTCCGTCAATGAATTCCGCGAGGTGTTCCACAAGGAGTTGAAAACGCTCAAGCGCAAGAGCAACAACATCAAGAAGCGCGAAGGCGAAGTCAACATTGACGAGGACCAATTTGGTGACTACTTGTCTAAGGACGAGGACGAGGACGGATCAGACGCAACAGACTCCGCAGCGCCGGCCCCGGCCAGACGTCCAACCCGTCAATCCAAGCGTAGCAGGCGAGGTGCCGCCCCCAAAGACACCCCAACCGCAGACGTAGTCACCGCCGACCCGCCCAGCACCGTCCAGGTCCACGGCGGCGTCTCGCTCCTCGGCGGCTTCCCATCCCTCGCTCTCCGCCAACGCCTCCTGCACCTCCTCTCCGCCGTCTCCGAGGACCTCCCCGCCTCGTTCACCACCCTCGAGGAACTCTACCACCTCTTCGTCGAAAATATCCGCCACCTGCCCCTCCCCATCTACCAAGCCTTTGTGAGCCCCTTCGTCCTCCCGCACTTCTCCGCCGCGGCGCAGACCACCCTCTGCGAGTTCCTGCTATTCCGTATGCGCGAGAACGCAGCCCCGAACACAGACGAGGAGTATCTGAATCAGACTAAGCTGGAGGAGTGTTTTCTGCCCTATGCGGCTAGCACGCCTAGCATCGTCGATAATGCCAAGATGTCCATCGCGCTGGAGTCGCTGCTGGTGCTCCTGGCAGACAGTGATATGCTGACTGTTACGCCGGAGCTGAAGGCTGCCGTGCAGGAGGGCATCATGGCCCGTGCGGAGAAGGTCCAGGTGGAAACGAGAAAGAACCAGAGTAGTCGCAAGACGGAGGATATCGAGTGGTGCTGGCTGCTGGAGAGTGGAGAGCGGTTGATGTTTCTGGTGGATGAGGTTCTCTCGCGGAAGCACCCTTCTGCGAGATAGTCGTCGTGGTCGGCACACCTTTCCTATATCTTTATGTCTCTATTTTCATGATACCCCTGCCTCGCACCAGCCTTGTCTAGTTTTGACATTCAATTGATTCACCTAAACATGGTATCTAATGTTAAATTGCCTATGTACAAATGATCGGGAGCAAATCGAGGTTGAAGACAACAGCAACGTCAAGTAGCGCAGTATAACAAGGTAATCCGGCCATGCCATCTATGGCGGCGGGCGAGGCCCAATGATCTGCCGCCTTGCTCCTCCTACACCCAGGCCGGGTCCGCCTCGGTTCTGGTTATCACCACCCATGAAACCGTATTGGTGCACATCCCAGGCGCCCTGGCCCGGCCCGATGCCAACATTAGGATCTTTGAGACCTTTTGCGGCTGCCTCGCGCGTCTGCTTCTGACTCTCTTCCCACTCACGCTGGCGCTCGCGCTCGCGCTCCATTTCCCGCTCCAGCAGCGACTTAGAGGCCCACCCGCCTGCTTTTGTCTTTTGCTGCGCTGCTACTCGGCGGTTATTTTCTTCGTCGACCTCTGCGGTGGTGGTGTAGTCCTGTGGGCGGTGAGCAGCGGGCTTAGGGGCGACAGGAGGAATGTTAGATGCCAGGAAGCGTTCGACACGGCTTTCCTGGCCCTGGGACTTGTTGGCATAAGCGGCTGGGTCGGGGAGAGGCCGAGGCGATGCTGGAGAGCCGAATTCGGCTGCTGATTGCGCCGTAGTCGGTTCCGGAAGTGGTCGGGGCGGCATCTGAGGCGGTGCATTGCTGGGCTCGGACTCGACAGTTTCATCGTGGGTCTGATGCTTCTGCCATTCGGTACGGAGCATTCGTCGTTCTTGCTCGAGAGACGAAAGGCTGTAGCTTGGCTTCGGAGGAACAGGCACAGGGCGGGCACTCTGCGATTGCGGCTTGCCTGTTTCTTTCTCCCTCAGCTCCTGACGCTCGCGCTGATACCGGCGCTCCCGCTCCTGGGCGAGCTCCAGTTCCCGCTCCAATTCCTTGACGCGCTGACTTTCCCTGGACTCCCCAGCAAGGCCGGCTTGATATTGACTGAGAAATTGCCCTGTCAGTCGGACATCACCAGCCTCCCGCTGACGCTGTCTTGCTTTGTTCAGTCTCTCCTCTGCCTCCTTCTCCTCCTGTTGGCGCTTCCGTTCCTCTTCGTCCCACTTTCGCTGTTCCTCGTCCCACTGCCGACGCTCCTCCTCCAGCCGACGCCGCTCCACCTCTTTCAGACGAGCGGTCTCTTCTGCCCACCTGCGTTCCTCTTCCGCCTTGGCGCGCTCTTCCTCCGCCTCCCGCTCTTGGCGGCGGATGCGTTCAGCCTCTTCTCTCTCGATGCGTTGCCGCTCCTCTTCCTCCTGCCTGCGTCTTTCCTTCTCTTCCAGGCTTGGAACGAACGGCGAAGGCGTCGTGATTTGTCGCCGAGCGCCAAAGGCAACTCCTTGGTTGCCCTGACTGGCACCGCCCATGTACCCATATTGATGAATATTCCAGGCCGGCATTGTCACATGCTCGTCTGACTTCTTACTCCAGCTGCTAACTGCCGGCGACTTGGCTGGGCTAGATGTTCCAGAATTGTTGCTGACATTGCTGAGTCCTCGAGATCGTAGAGGAGTATTGGCCGATTGACTTGAGCCGGTCAAATGTGGACTCACAGCGCCTCCTTTGCTCTGAACGCCAATTGCTCGAGGAAATTTGCTGGGTTGAAGCGCATTAGCCCTCCTACTAAAGGCCATCAGACACTGTAGGACCTGCGCGGGATCCTTTGATTCGTAGAGATCGACAGTCAAAAAGACATCGTGTGGCGGTAGGCTGAGAGGGGGGATTTGACATGCGCGTAGGAAATGCGAGATGTTTTCCATTTGTACGAAGGGCATAGATGACTGCTTATACTTGACGCCGGGGGGAACGGCGAGGTTGACGAGCCTGCAAAATTCCATCCAATCAGTATTTAATTGCAGTGTTTCTGCTCGGGGATACTTGCCTGCAAAGCGCGACGCCATCTTTGAGCGCATCCAAGAGATCACCAGCTGGAAGTTTCTCATGAAGCGTCTCTTCGATCCATGCGCGGACCTCTGCGGCAGCCTGCGGGGTATAGCGGGACAAGCGCAAACTGCGCAGGTCCTTATCTAGTGATGTAACTGACGCCATACCGGGCCAAATAGAAATCAATGTGACTCTGCAATCATACAGAAAGTTCACTGAAGACTCGAGGATTCAGGATCCGAAGATCGAGGGATGTTAGCCCCTGTTTATGCTGCCGACAGGTACTGTGGGAAGAACCGCGGATCTATGTGGGCTCCAAGGGGTAGCGTAATAGGGGGAAAGAGGTTCTAGAAGAAGCTTGACTAAGGGGGGTTTATTGAGAAACGATGAGCGGGAACCCTATGTATAAGGAGTTGAAGATGGAAAGTGACTCCACAAGAATAGAAGCGATGGTAAAAATAAAGAACTTCCGAGAAGAAGAGGAGGCCCGGATAGTTGACGCTGATCTATGGAATGGAATGTGGTTGTCGGCCAAACAAATTACGCCTATCGTAATATTCCCAATACGATTACGAGCACTGCCCGATGACGTTTTTCTGCGCCCTCAATATTATCGATAGCCTCCATCTACGTCGCAACACAGCAAGCCACGTTTACATCGCGCCTGATCGGTGTTTGTTCTAGGCTGCCATTAATAGTTCCATCTCCCCTGGGTCCTAATGAGTCCAGTGAACAGCTTGTGGTTCAAGTGGAAAAGCCTTCGATTGCCGTGGCGAAGATCCTTCCTTGTCGGTTGGTATCCCCAGCACTAACTGTCTGTTACGACGTTGCCTACAGGTCCTCTGACAATATATTTCAGGCACCGACCTATCAGGAAACACATACTGGGAATTCAAAGACTCACTGAATGCCGGGCGATTCCGACGGATCGTCAAGTACAACGCCAAAACCCACTATGCGGACGTGCAAGTGACTCGTGAGTGTCCTGA